TACATCATCAGTGGTGTAGTAACTACATTATCAGTGGTGTAGTATCTACATTATAATTGGCATAGTAACTACACTATCAGTGGTGTAGTAACTACATTATCAATGGTATAGTAACGACATTATTAGTGATGTAGTATCTACATTATCAGTGGTGTAGTAACAACATTATCAGTGGCGTAGTAACTTACATTATCAGTGGCGCAGTAACTACATTATCAGTGGTGTAGTAACTACATTATCAGTGGTGTAGTAACTAGATAATCAGTGGTGTAGTAACTACATTAACAGTGGCGTGGTAACTACATTATCAGTGGTGTAGTAACTACATTTTCAGTGGCGTAGTAACTACATTATCAGTGACGTAGTAACTACATTATCAGTGGCATAATAACTACATTATCAGTGGCATAGTAACTACATTACCAGTGGCGTGGTAACTACATTATCAGTGGTGTAGTAACTACATTATCAGTGGTGTAGTAACTACATTATCAGTGGTGATGTAACTACATTATCAGTGGCGTAGTAACTACATTATCAGTGGTATAGTAACTACATGATCAGTGGTGTAGTAACTACACTATCAGTGGTATAGTAAATACATTATCAGTGGCGAAGTAACTACATTATCAGTGACGTAGTAACGACATTATCAGTGATGTAGTATCTACATTATCAGTGGTGTAGTAACTACATTATCAGTGGCATAGTAACTACACTATCAGTGGCGTAGTAACTACATTATCAGTGGCGTAGTAACTACATTATCAGTGGTGTAGTAACTACATTATCAGTGGTGTAGTATCTACATTATAATTGGCATAGTAACTACACTATCAGTGGTGTAGTAACTACATTATCAATGGTATAGTAACGACATTATTAGTGATGTAGTATCTACATTATCAGTGGTGTAGTAACAACATTATCAGTGGCGTAGTAACTTACATTATCAGTGGCGCAGTAACTACATTATCAGTGGTGTAGTAACTACATTATCAGTGGTGTAGTAACTAGATAATCAGTGGTGTAGTAACTACATTAACAGTGGCGTGGTAACTACATTATCAGTGGTGTAGTAACTACATTTTCAGTGGCGTAGTAACTACATTATCAGTGACGTAGTAACTACATTATCAGTGGCATAATAACTACATTATCAGTGGCATAGTAACTACATTACCAGTGGCGTGGTAACTACATTATCAGTGTTGTAGTAACTACATTATCAGTGGTGTAGTAACTACATTATCAGTGGTGATGTAACTACATTATCAGTGGCGTAGTAACTACATTATCAGTGGCATAGTAACTACATTATCAGTGGTGTAGTGACTACATTATCAGTGGCGTAGTAACAACATTATCAGTGGCGTAGTAACAACATTATCAGTGATGTAGTAACTACATTATCAGTGGCGTAGTAACTACATTATCAGTGGCATAGTGACTTCATTATCACTGAAAATGTAGTAACTACATTATCAGTGGTGTAGTAACTACATTATCAGTGGTGATGTAACTACATTATCAGTGGCGTAGTAACTACATTATCAGTGGCATAGTAACTACATTATCAGTGGTGTAGTGACTACATTATCAGTGGCGTAGTAACAACATTATCAGTGGCGTAGTAACAACATTATCAGTGATGTAGTAACTACATTATCAGTGGCGTAGTAACTACATTATCAGTGGCATAGTGACTTTATTATCACTGAAAATGTAGTAACTAAATTATCAGTGGTGTAGTAACTACATTATCAGTGGCGTAGTAACTAAATTATCAGTAGCGTAGTAACTACATTATCAGTGGTGTAGTAACTACATTATCAATTGCGTAGTAAGGACATTATCAGTGGTGTAGTAACTACATTATCAGTGGCATAGTAACTACAAGATCAGTGGTGTAGTAACTACATTATCAGTGGCGTAGTGACTACATTATCAGTGGCGAAGTAACTACAGTATCAGTGACGTAGTAGCGACATTATCAGTGGTGTAATAACTACATTATCAGTAGTGTAGTAAAGACATTATCAGTGGTGTAGTAACTACATTATCAGTGGCGTAGTAACTACATTATCAGTGACGTACTAACTACATTATCAGTGGTGTAGTGACTACACTATCAGTGGCGTAGTAACTACATATCAGTGACGTAGTAACTACATTATCAGTGGCGTAGTAACTTCATTATTAGTGGCGTAGTAACTACATTATCAGTGACGTAGTAGCGACATTATCAGTGTGTAGTAACTACATTATAAGTGGCGTAGTAACTACATTATCAGTGACGTGGTAATTACATTATCAGTGGTGTAGTAACAACATTATCAGTGGCGTAGTAACTACATTATCAGTTGCGTCGTGACTACATTATCAGTGGCGTAGTAACTACATTACCAGTGGCGTAGTAACTACATTATCAGTGGTGTAGTAACTACATTATCAGTGGCGTAGTAACTACATTATCAGTGACGTAGTAACTACGTTATCAGTGGCGTAATAACTACATTACCAGTGGCATAGTAACTATATTATCAGTGGTGTTGTAACTACTTTACCAGTGGCCTAGTAACCACATTATCAGTGGCGTAGTAGCTACATTATTAGTGGCATAGTAACTACACTATCAGTGGTGTAGTAACTACATTATCAGTGGCATAGTAACAACATTATCAGTGGTGCAGTGACTACATTATTAGTGGCGTAGTAACTACATTATCAGTGGCGTAGTAACGACATTATCAGTGGCGTAGTAACTACAATATCAGTGGCGTAGTAACTACATTATCAGTGGTGTAGTACCGACATTATCAGTGGCATAGTAACTACACTATCAGTGGCGTAGTAACTACATTATCAGTGGTGTAGTGACTATATTATCAATGGTGTAGTAACTACATTATCAGTGGTGTAGTAACACCATTATCAGTGGTGTAGTAACTTACATTATCAGTGGCGCAGTAACTACATTATCAGTGGTGTAGTAACTACATTATCAGTAGTGTAGTAACTACACTATCAGTGGCGTAGTAACTACATTATCAGTGACGTAGTAACTACATTATCAGTGGCGTAGTAACTTCATTATCAGTGGCGTAGTAACTACATTATCAGTGACGTAGTAGCGACATTATCAGTGTGTAGTAACTACATCATCAGTGGCGTAGTAACTACATTATCAGTGACGTAGTAACTACATTATCAGTGGCGTAGTAACTTCATTATCAGTGGCGTAGTAACTACATTATCAGTGACGTAGTAGCGACATTATCAGTGTGTAGTAACTACATCATCAGTGGCGTAGTAACTACATTATCAGTGACGTAGTAACTACATTATCAGTGGTGTAGTGACTACTTTATCAGTGGCATAGTAACTACATTATCAGTGGCGTCGTGACTACATTATCAGTGGCGTAGTAACTACATTACCAGTGGCGTAGTAACTACATTATCAGTGGTGTAGTAACTACATTTTCAGTGGCGTAGTAACTACATTATCAGTGTTGTAGTAACTACATTATCAGTGGCGTAGTAACTACATTATCAGTGGCGTAACTACATTATCAGTTGTGTAGTAACTACATTATTAGTAGTTTAGTAATACATTATCAGTGGTGTAGTAACTACATTATCAGTGGTTTAGTAACTACATGATTTGTAGTGTAGTAACTACATTATAAATGGTGTTGTAACTACATTATCAGTGGCGTAGTAACTACATTATCAGTGGCGTAGTAGCTACCTTATTAGTGGCGTAGTAACTCCACTATCAGTGGTATAGTAACTACATTATCAGTGGCGTAGTAACCACATTACCAGTGGTGTAGTAACTACATTATCAGTGGCATAGTAACTACATTATCAGTGGCATAGTAACTACAATATCAGTGGCGTAGTAACTACATTATCAGTGGTGTAGTAACTACATTACAAGTGGTGTAGTAACTACATTATCAGTGGTGTAGTGACTACATTATTAGTGATGTAGTGACTACATTATCAGTGGTGTAGTAACTACATTATCACTGGTGTAGTAACTACGTGATCAGTGTCGTCGTAACTACATTATCAGTGGTGTAGTAACTACATTATCAGTGCCGTAGTGACTACATTATCAGTGGCGTAGTGGCTACATTATCAGTGCCGTAGTAACTACATTATCAGTAGTGTAGTAACTACATTATCAGTGGTGTAGTAACTACATTATCAGTGGCGTAGTGACTACCTTATCAGTGGTGTAGTAACTACATTTTCAGTGGTGTAATAACTACATTATCAGTGGCGTAGTGACTACATTATCAGTGGCGTAGTAACTACATTATCAGTGGCGTAGTGGCTACATTATCAGTGGCGTAGTAACTACATTATCAGTGGCGTAGTGACTACATTATCAGTGGCATAGTGGCTACATTATAAGTGGCGTAATAACTACATTATCAGTGGCGTAGTAAGTACATTATCAGTGGGGTAGTGACTACATTACCAGTGGTGTAGTAACTACATTATCAGTGCCGTAGTGACTACATTATCAGTGGCGTAGTGACATTATCAGTGGCGTAGTGACATTATCAGTGCCGTAGTGACTACGTTATCAGTGACGTAGTAACTACATTATCAGTGGCGTAGTAACTACATTATCAGTGGCATAGTAATGACATTATCAGTGACGTAGTAACTACATTATCAGTGACGTAGTAATGACATTATCAGTGGCGTAGTAACTACATTATCAGTGGCGTAGTAATGACATTATCAGTGGTGTAGTAACTACATTATCAGTGGTGTAGTAACTACATTATCAGTGGTGTAGTAACTACATTATTAGTGCCGTAGTAACTACATTATCAGTGACGTAGTAACTACATTATCAGTGACGTAGTGGCTACATTATCAGTGACGTAGTAACTACATTATCAGTGGCGTAGTGGTTACATTATCAGTGGCGTAATAACTACATTATCAGTGGCGTAGTGGCTACATTATTAGTGCCGTAGTAACTACATTATCAGTGACGTAGTAACTACATTATCAGTGACGTAGTAACTACATTATCAGTGACGTAGTAACTACATTATCAGTGACGTAGTAATGACATTGTCAGCTCAGTGGGTGCGGCAATCGGTCAGGGTGCCCCCCCCCTCCCCAATATTTGATTTGTCTCGCACGGTCGCATCGAGGCTATAAATATCACGCCTGCTCTTGCCTAATCACATCCTTACATCAGTGTTTTTCTTTTCACGCCGTTGTCGAAGACAAGGATGAGGGAGGCCCAACTCGTAGCTGTGGCCACCAGAGGGAGCATTGGGCTAGCCCCCCACAGCAGCCGCACTATTCCTACCCCCCCGTACCCCCTACCAGCCCCCTAGTGCTTCGAGCTCTCCTTGAACATTCCGTGGAAGGACACGGGAATGTTGACGTCAACCTCCGCGCGAGCGACCTCCGTCAGGTCCTTGGCGTTGAGGATGAGCAGGAAGGCCGGTGTGCGTCCAGCGGGCCCAGGGCTCACCACCGTCGTCAGCAGTACCCCTAGGGAGCAGGGTTATGGGTGGGAGGGGGTCACACGGCAGCGGTGAGATCAAGGGGGGGGGGGGGAGGGCGGGGGGAGGCTCCCGGGGTCGTCTAGAGTGGCCCTGGGGTCACCATCAGGTCGGGCCATCTCGTGAGGAGGAGGAGGAGGAGACGGCGATGCGGTGGTAGGCAGACTCATTGAAAAGCTAAACTGATCGGATGAATATATCTTTAACCAAGAAAGTCTCACTGAGTTTCAGGGGGGTCTTGCCCAGTTTGCGCAGTAGGTGGCGATGTAGCCGCAGGGATGTTCATCCCAATTAAGTCATTTGCAGGTAATACGGTAATTCAACGTTGGGATGTTTGGCCATTGCCAGCTACGCTGTATTCACACTGTTTGAAAACAAAATAGCTACGGGAGAAACCCGAGATCCTGGAGGAAAGCCATGCAGAACAGGGGTAGAGAATACAAACTCCGCAGAGAAAGGTGTATTCGTGGGGAATCGAACCCAAGTCCTTCTTGCTGTGAGACACGAGTGTAACCACTGTGCCACCCGTTGACAAACTGGACACCACACACGCAATTTTCTTTATTGAAACGACGTGAGAGCCCACTGAGAGCCAGGCTTCTTGTGCATGGCGAGCACAGAGCCCCCCGCTGCGTCACAGAGCTGGTCTGATGGACCCCTTCACTGGCGCATCATCATCATCAGTCATCATGATCTATCATCCTCATCCATCTTCATCCACCATCAACGCTCATCATGGGGGCGGAGACATCGCCAAGCGTGAGCGCGTTCGCCGCTTGTTGCAGAGGTTCGTCCTTCAGACACCCAGCAGGCCGACCCGGTAAATACTGCGCTGTGTGTGTGATTAATGAAATACTCGTCCCCGTATGCTTTCGCAGTGGACTTCAGAGATTCCGTGACGTCGTTCGAAGATGAGGAGGCCACTGCGTGCCGCTGCGTCACGGTCCACATTTTCGAAATCTCGCAAATTTCAAACTTGCGTTTGAGATCATTTAAGTTTAACACGGAGGCTTTCGCGAACGATATCATCCATAGTATAGGTTTTGGGTTAGATCGCGTTTATATAAACGTGTCGTTTAACTCGCCACCACCCGACAGCCAATTAGTAAGGTTTGTTATGTTAACAGACCTTGCCAATTCGTCACTAACACACTGTTATGTTAACAGAACTTGGCAATTCGTCACTAGCACACTGTTATGGTAACAGAACTTGCCAGTTCGTCACTAGTACACCGTTATGTTAACAGAACTTGCCAATTCGTCACTACTACAGCACACCGGTGCTAGTACAGCACACCGGTGTGCTGTACTAGCATTGCTCTCCAACACACGGTGTGCTGTACTCGTAACGAATTGGCATGTTCTGTTTACGTGACAAACCTCGCTGATTGGCTGTGTCGGGTGGTGGCGGGTTTAACGACACATTTATATATTTACGCGATCTAACCAAATAAAAACCGAGATCAATTCAGATTACAGATAGGAATCATTACCAGCTACTGCAACCAACTTAGCAGGGCCCTCCTGACGGAGAGTCTCGAGACTCAGTGAGGCTATCCTGGGTTAAACAAATGTAAAACTAATAATTATCCATCATCATCAATAATTACCATCATCATCAACAACAATCATGGCACACTGCCGCCGCAATCCAGTCATCAGAACTGAACTGCTTTTTGCCTCTCATTGTCCTTCCCCCGGAACCTCCGATTCACACGGTCGGCTGCGTACGGTGCGAAAGAAGTTCCACGTGCGTCATCATACAGTCACCACCGAGTTCACCCGCGTGCTCAGAGCGCTCTATGCTCGGAGCGCGGCGCCGAGGTTATTTATTTATTCGTTTACCGTCATTATGAGACCTCCTTTGCCAGAAACAAGATATAGGAATAGGTTTTACCCTTTTAACTGGCACAAAAACTGACACCTTTATTCAAGGCATCGTGTTTGCAATAACCACAACACAAGCAGTCAAAATGCAAACAAAAAAGACAACTCTGATAATAGGACAGTGCATATTATTATCAGAGTTGTCTTTTTTGTTTGCATTTTGACTGCTTGTGTTGTGGTTATTGCAAACATGATGACTTGAATAAAGGTGTCAGTTTTTGTGCCAGTTAAAAGGGTAAAAACCTATTCCTATAGTTTACCGTCGTCCTCATCTTGGGCATCCGGCCGGGCGATGAAGATGGGCTCAGAAGGGTAGGTGCCCGGGATCTGCCACACCCAGTGCTCCTTAGTCTTCACGTTCAGCTTGTAGATCTGCGGGTGAGACCCACGGCACATCGCGCTCCCGAACCCGCGGTCTTAGAGGTGTCGCTGCCTGCGGTGGTGTTGGTGGTACGGGCAGCGGTTAGCTCACTGCGCTACGAACCCGCCGACCCGAGTTCGATTCCCGCTCACGGACAACATCGGTGACGATTCCCTGAACCGGTCCTGGGCGTCCCCTGAGTCGACTCAGCCTTAAGTTAGTACCTGGTGCGCGGCGTGTAAACATCGCCACTGGGGAGACAAAGGCGGCCGGCCGTGGTGCTGCCCCCCCCACCCCCACCCCCTAGTGTGCCTTGACCGTCTTCGTAGATTATAACCCTAACAGCACTTGCCTCAACAGTCTGCTAAAGCTATACGGGGGGGACTTTGTCTTTCTAACCGGTGGTGGTGGTGGTGGCGGCGGTGGATGTCGCGGGACGCTCTACACGCGAGGTCTCTGCGCTCACCTTGTCCGGCACGAAGTGGTTGAGGCCCAGGCCGTAGGCGAACGTGTAGTCGCGTCCGTTATTCTTCTCGTAATTAATCCGCGGGAATTCGAACGCTGCAACAGTGCACACGCAGCTCGTTAGCATCTCCGCCCGTCCACCTGTCAACCCGTCAACTTGTCAACCTGCCGACCTGTCATTCTCTGCGTCCCGTCCTCTCTGCCAACGCTGTCTGCCTGTCCACCTCTCAACCTGACCACCTCTCAGCTCATCTGCCCGTTCAGCCCCGAGTCCTTCCCCGCAGCTGTCATTGAAGGTGCCAGCGTTTGGCTCGGATGCAATCCCACACCTTTGGAATACCTCGCCCCGGTTGAGCACATTAGGGTACAACGTCGGTTACGGACGGGGAGCTCTGCTTTCTAGTAGGGTAACGACCCATCGATCGTGGGGGTTTATGTGGCCCGCGTCAGCGCATAAGGCGCCTGGCCTCTCCGTGATCCAGCATGCTCAGGCTAACACTCCACGATATGTTTAAAATCAACAAACCCTGTTCTCGCCAACAAGATGATATCAACAGCGCTTTTTGGGGGGGGGGGGGTAAGAAGAGCGGCGTGCGGTTATCAGGGGCGAGAAGAGCTGTGTAGGGTTATCGGGGGCGAGAGGAGCGGTGTAGGGTTATCGGGGGCGAGAAGAGCGGTGTAGGGTTATCGGGGGTGAGAAGAGCGTTGTGCGGTTATCGGGGGTGAGAGGAGCGGTGTAGGGCTATCGGGGGTGAGAAGAGCGTTGTGCGGTTATCGGGGGCGAGAAGAGCGGTGTAGGGTTATTGGGGGCGAGAAGAGCTGTGTTGGGGCGAGAAGAGCGGTGTAGGGTTATCGGGGGCGAGAAGAGCGGTGTAGGGTTATCGGGGGCGAGAGGAGCGGTGTAGGGTTATCGGGGGCGAGAAGAGCGGTGTAGGGTTATCGGAGGTGAGAAGAGCGTTGTGCGGTTATCGGGGGCGAGAGGAGCGGTGTAGGGTTATCGGGGGCGAGAAGAGCTGTGTAGGGTTATCGGGGGCGAGAGGAGCGGTGTAGGGTTATCGGGGGTGAGAAGAGCGTTGTGCGGTTATCGGGGGTGAGAAGAGCGGTGTAGGGTTATTGGGGGCGAGAAGAGCGGTGTAGGGTTATCGGGGGTGAGAACAGCGTTGTGCGATTATCGGGGGTGAGAGGAGTGGTGTAGGGCTAATGGGGGTGAGAAGAGCGTTGTGCGGTTATCGGGGGTGAGAGGAGTGGTGTAGGTTTATCGGGGATGAGAGGAGCGATGTAGGGTTATCGGGGGTGAGAAGAGCGTTGTGCGGTTATCGGGGGCGAGAAGAGCGTTGTGTGGTTATTGGGGGTGAGAAGAGCATTGTGCGGTTATCGGGGGCGAGAAGGCGTTGTGCGGTTATCGGGGGTGAGAGGAGTGGTGTAGGGTTATCGGGGGCGAGAAGAGCGTTGTGCGGTTATCGGGGGCGAGAAGAGCAGTGTGCGGTTATCGGGGGCGAGAAGAGCGTTGTGCGGTTATCGGGGGCGAGAAGAGCGTTGTGCGGTTATCGGGGGCGAGAGGTGCCGTGCGTCGTCACCCTGTCGCGGTCCAGAGAAGAGCACCTCGGGCTCCAGCCAGATGGTGCCGTCGTTGCGGAGTGTCGCTGTCGCCGTGGTGTCTCCGAGACGCACCAGGTTCTTGCCGTACTCCTCCTGGGCGGGATGCGGGATGGGGGACGAGAACATTCCCCGCGCTCGGCACACCACATCGAGTACACCTCTGACCTCTCTCGCTATGACTGTGGCCACCGCTCGTCACGTGCCTGCCCCAGGAGTCTACCGGCGATCCGCAAGAGAGTGAGACGTGACGAAACCTCGGCGAAGGATACCGACAAGGCTCGGTGTCTCTGAGAGTCTCTGTCGAAGTGTCGAGGCCCCTTGATTAGGAGGCCCGCGCGGGGACCTGTGGATGAGTCTGTGATGGATGTTTGGCTCCGTGACGGAGGGATAACGGAGTGGCCGGGGATTCATCTTCAGCAAACTGCCAGCCCGAGTCCTCCCCATGATGATCATTATGGTGATGGTGATGATGATGATGACCAAGATAATGATGATGACAACCATGATGATGATGGTGGTGTCGATGGTGATGATGATGACAATAATAGTGATGATGGTGGTGGTGATGGTGTTGTCGATCGTGATGATTATGATGATGATGATGATGATGTTGATGATGACCATGATGGTACTGATGATGATGAGGAGCAGCAGGAGGAGGAGAAGTTCACCTCGTCGAAGTTGATGGGCAGCACGTATCGCCGCACTTCCGGCTGGGGAGCCTTGTACGCGTTCCGCTTCAACTCTTCCCAGTTCTCCCTCATGTTGGCGAGGTATAGATAGTTGTATATGAACTCAAACCTGCACGTGCAAGCACACAAAGACAAAGATCCCCCGTGCGGACTTCACAAAGTGCTGCGGCAAGTGCTGTTCACGAGCAGTGCCTACGAAGGCCGGCAAGGTGGGTGGCCAGCACCACGCCCGGCCGCCTTTGTCTCCCTCTTAGCAATATTTACACATCACATTAAAGTTCTCGTTTCAGGCCATGTCAACCTAGGACCGATTCCAATATTCGTCACTGTTGTTGGTCACGAGTGAGCGGGAATCGAACTTGGGTCCACCGGGTTCGTAGCGCAGTGCAATGATCACTGCGCCACCACCGTGCCTGAAGGACACTTTGCGGTGCTGTGGTTCGCAAGGAACCCGTGGGGTGCGCGTGGCGTGCGGTGAGACACAAGCGCCAGGGAGAGACGGAGGGCACGCGCCGTGAACGACTCCCGGGTTGACACGCGGCGACTACACGGGCTGCTGTAGGGGTGGGGACGGCGGTTGTGGTGGTGGTGGCTGTTTACCGTGGTGATGGTGTGGTTCTGGTGGTGTTTGTGGTTGTGGTGGTCGCTACCGTGGTGGAGATGGTGTGGTTCTGGTGGTGGTGGTGTTTGTGGTCGTGGTGGTCATTAAAGTGGTGGAGATGGTGTGGTTCTGATTGTAGTAGTGGTGGTGTTTGTGGTTGTGGTGGTCGCTACCGTGGTGATGGTGTGGTTTTGGTGGTGGTGTTCGTGGTCGTACTGTTCGCTACCGTGGTGGAGACGGTGGTTCTGGTTGGCGCTAGCTACGGAGCTTTATTCAACACGAGGGAACAAAGTTGACGTGGCAAGGTGCCACCGAGGACCGTTTTTAGGTAGCCGCCGGTAGCCTCTGACCACTCATGGTTTGGCATCGACCCCGGTGCAATAAATATAGTGCCCCCCTCCCCCACCTCCTTCAGCCCCCCCCCAACTCCCGTATCCAATATCCTCGTCGTAGCCCGGCGCCTTCGCTCGCCCCTCCGTCCGGTGGGCCCCGGGTGCAATTCGACGGGCACGCCGACGAGGGTGCCCGCTCACCCCTTCCAGCAACAGACGTCCATGACGACGTGGCCCTCTTTCTCGAACGTGTTGATGTGGTGGAAGATGTTGAAGGCCGCCGCGCGGAACCGGATGTCCAGGTACTCGCCCCGGCGCTTGTCGGCCACGTGCACCCACACCTGCACGTGCACGAGCGGGCGCGCGCACGGGGAGGGGGAGGGAGTGGGATGGGGGAATAGTGAGAGAGCTAGTACTAGTGTCTGGTTAGCTAGTTGTGGTAGGGTCAGTGAGAGAGTTAGCACTAGCGTCTGGTTAGCTAGTTGTGGTAGAGTCAGTGAGAGTGCTAGTACTAGTGTCTGGTTAGCTAGTTGTGGTAGAGTCAGTGAGAGAGCTAGTACTAGTGTCTGGTTAGCTAGTTGTGGTAGAGTCAGTGAGAGAGCTAGTACTAGTGTCTGGTTAGCTAGTTGTGGTAGAGTCAGTGAGAGTGCTAGTACTAGTGTCTGGTTAGCTAGTTGTGGTAGAGTCAGTGAGAGAGCTAGTACTAGTGTCTGGTTAGCTAGTTGTGGTAGAGTCAGTGAGAGAGCTAGTACTAGTGTCTGGTTAGATAGTTGTGGTAGAGTCAGTGAGAGAGCTAGTACTAGTGTCTGGTTAGCTAGTTGTGGTAGGGTCAGTGAGAGAGCTAGTACTAGTGTCTGGTTAGCTAGTTGTGGTAGAGTCAGTGAGAGAGCTAGTACTAGTGTCTGGTTAGCTAGTTGTAGTAGAGTCAGTGAGAGAGCTAGTACTAGTGTCTGGTTAGCTAGTTGTGGTAGAGTCAGTGAGAGAGTTAGTACTAGTGTCTGGTTAGCTAGTTGTGGTAGAGTCAGTGAGAGAGCTAGTACCAGTGTCTGGTTAGCTAATTGTGGTAGAGTCAGTGAGAGAGCTACTACTAGTGTCTGGTTAGCTAGTTGTGGTAGAGTCAGTGAGAGTGCTAGTACTAGTGTCTGGTTAGCTAGTTGTGGTAGAGTCAGTGAGAGAGCTAGTACTAGTGTCTGGTTAGCTAGTTGTGGTAGAGTCAGTGAGAGAGCTAGTACTAGTGTCTGGTTAGATAGTTGTGGTAGAGTCAGTGAGAGAGCTAGTACTAGTGTCTGGTTAGCTAGTTGTGGTAGGGTCAGTGAGAGAGCTAGTACTAGTGTCTGGTTAGCTAGTTGTGGTAGAGTCAGTGAGAGAGCTAGTACTAGTGTCTGGTTAGCTAGTTGTAGTAGAGTCAGTGAGAGAGCTAGTACTAGTGTCTGGTTAGCTAGTTGTGGTAGAGTCAGTGAGAGAGTTAGTACTAGTGTCTGGTTAGCTAGTTGTGGTAGAGTCAGTGAGAGAGCTAGTACCAGTGTCTGGTTAGCTAATTGTGGTAGAGTCAGTGAGAGAGCTAGTACTAGTGTCTGGTTAGCTAGTTGTGGTAGAGTCAGTGAGAGAGTTAGTACTAGTGTCTGGTTAGCTAGTTTTGGTAGAGTCAGTGAGAGAGCTAGTACTAATGTCTGGTTAGCTAGTTGTGGTAGAGTCAGTGAGAGAGCTAGTACTAGTGTCTGGTTAGCTAGTTGTGGTAGGGTCAGTGAGAGAGCTAGTACTAGTGCCTGGTTAGCTAGTTGTGGTAGAGTCAGTGAGAGAGCTAGTACTAGTGTCTGGTTAGCTAGTTGTGGTAGGGTCAGTGAGAGAGCTAGTACTAGTGCCTGGTTAGCTAGTTGTGGTAGAGTCAGTGAGAGAGCTAGTACTAGTGTCGGGTTAGCTAGTTGTGGTAGGGTCAGTGAGAGAGCTAGTACTAGTGTCTGGTTAGCTAGTTGTGGTAGAGTCAGTGAGAGAGCTAGTACTAGTGTCTGGTTAGCTAGTTGTGGTAGGGTCAGTGAGAGAGTTATTACTAGTGTCTGGTTAGCTAGTTTTGGTAGAGTCAGTGAGAGAGCTAGTACTAGTGCCTGGTTAGCTAGTTGTGGTAGAGTCAGTGAGAGAGCTAGTACTAGTGTCGGGTTAGCTAGTTGTGGTAGGGTCAGTGAGAGAGCTAGTACTAGTGCCTGGTTAGCTAGTTGTGGTAGAGTCAGTGAGAGAGCTAGTACTTGTGTCTGGTTAGCTAGTTGTGGTAGAGTCAGTGAGAGAGCTAGTACTAGTGTTTGGTTAGCTAGTTTTGGTAGGGTCAGTGAGAGAGCTAGTACTAGTGCCTGGTTAGCTAGTTGTGGTAGAGTCAGTGAGAGAGCTAGTACTAGTGTCTGGTTAGCTAGTTGTGGTAGAGTCAGTGAGAGAGCTAGTACTAGTGTCTGGTTAGCTAGTTGTGGTAGACTCAGTGAGAGAGCTAGTACTAGTGTCTGGTTAGCTAGTTGTGGTAGAGTCAGTGAGAGAGCTAGTACTAGTGTCTGGTTAGCTAGTTGTGGTAGAGTCAGTGAGAGAGCTAGTACTAGTGTCTGGTTAGCTAGTTGTGGTAGAGTCAGTGAGAGAGCTAGTACTAGTGTCTGGTTAGCTAGTTGTGGTAGAGTCAGTGAGAGAGCTAGTACTAGTGTCTGGTTAGCTAGTTGTGGTAGAGTCAGTGAGAGAGCTAGTACTAGTGTCTGGTTAGCTAGTTGTGGTAGAGTCAGTGAGAGAGCTAGTACTAGTGTCTGGTTAGCTAGTTGTGGTAGGGTCAGTGAGATAGCTAGTACTAGTGTCTGGTTAGCTAGTTGTGGTAGAGTCAGTGAGAGAGCTAGTACTAGTGTCTGGTTAGCTAGTTGTGGTAGGGTCAGTGAGAGATGTAGTACTAGTGTCTGGTTAGCTAGTTGTGGTAGAGTCAGTGAGAGAGCTAGTACTAGTGTCTGGTTAGCTAGTTGTGGTAGGGTCAGTGAGAGGGCTGGTGCGAGTGGCTGTTGCTGCTGGGAGGTCAGGGTCAGGGCTAGGGCTACGGCGCGTGTTTGATTGTCTCGCGCGTTCCGCCTACAAACCGCTCCTCCTCAAGGACGTGCCGCATGACCACGTGCCGCGCGTCAACGCAACTGGCCACTGCCCCCTTACGTGTCCGGCTGACCCCCCCCCTCCAGTGACCCCAAGCAACCCCCCCCACCACCCACCCTAACCGTGACCCCCCCCCAACTCCCCACGCTCGGGTGAGGCGCCCCCGTGTACCCCCATCGTGTGGTGGCTCTCGAAGCAGTCCATGTAGGTGGCGCCGCGGGGCCCCCAGGCGCTCAGGAATTTCCACAGGTTGATCTTCACGGGCTGCTCCACGAACACGAAGTAGTTCTCCGTCATGCCGAAGCTGGGAGGAAGGCGGTGGGGGCGGGGAGAGGGGTGGGTGAGCTGGGGGGTCACATGGGGGTCTCACCCCAAGACGCTCTCCCTCCCTCCCTGCCTTGTTGAATATCGCCACCTCGCCCGTGCTCAAGCTCGCCGCGCGCTGTGTCTCACCTGTGCACGTAGGACGGCTTGAATCGTTCGCTGCACGGAAGCTGCACGGCCACCGACATTTTATTCAAGGGGTTCACCTTGTCTGCAACACAGAGCAAACGGGACGTCTCGCCGTGGTGCGGTGACGGGTGTCTGCCGAGAAACCACGCCCGTGGCCCCGTGGCCCCGTGGCCCCGTGGCCCCTTAGCACCGCGGCCTCGTGGCCCCGTGGTGCCATGGCCCCGTGTCCCCGCCGTGGCCCCGTTGCGCCATCGTGTTCGTAGCGGGCGCTGGCGGAGTCTCCGCTCTAGTCGCCGATGTCCGGTCACTCCCGACACGGTTTAGCCGTGGCTAAGAGGCACCCGCAACATCTCCGACGACATTCATGGTATTTCTTTGGTGCCTTGGGCGGGACGCACATGCGGCTGAATGAACACTGTCCAGGTCATTTGACGCCGGCCAAACCGCGGCGGAAAACGATGGCAGCTATCTGCCAGCGACGGGGAATTTCGCTTTCGCGCAGGGCCAGGGGCCGGCCTGCTCACGCGGTGCGGTGCGCGCGTTGTTCTCCATCTGGCCGTCATTTCCATCTCTCCGGCGTTGCCTCGACTCGGCTATAAACGAGCGTGCCGATGCATAAACAAAGGAGACAGTGTAATGCGGAGGCTTGTTTAAAACGCGGCGCGAGTCAATGACGCCCCGCGCGAGCTTATAACTCACGCGGGGGAGACGGCCCGCGCGCTAAGGACTCTACAATTACGCAATTACGGCACCGTAATTGCCGGACGGGGTGACCGCGTCGGCGGCGTTGATGCGGCGACCGAGGGGGACGTGAACGCAGCGGTCGCAAATCACGGCGAAGGCCATGCTGGCCCCACCGCCGCCGCCGCCGCTGCCGGTTCTTGCTGAGACGATCACCAACTGCTGCTCGGCGTGCGTCTGCAGCGATCTCCACTCGCCATGCGGGGCGTTTGTAGCAATCTGGCAGCGCGAGAATTCGTGCGCGCTCGCGTGTGCCGGTGTGAGTGTGTGCGGGCGTGGTGTTGGCCACCCACCCCCTCGTGTGCCGTGGCGGCCTTGATAGGTGCTCGCTAACAGCACTTGCCCCAACGGTCTGTTGAGGCTAGACGGGAGATCTGTGTCTTTGTGTGCGCGCCGCTGTCATTGTGGAGGTGTGGTACGGGGGGGGCCCACTTTGATCGCGCGTGGGGTGATGCTGTGTGCCACTGTGATCACAGTGGTGTAGTGTGGTGTGCAGTGTGGTGATGTTTGACGCTATTATCACAGTGATGTGATGTGATGTGCCACTTTCAGTACAGTGCGGTGCTAGGTACCACTGTCATCACAGTGGTTCGCCGCTTGTTGTAGAGATTCACGGTTTTAAATCGAGTGGGCGCCCTGGTTATTCCCGCGGCGCGTGACCACCACAGTGCCACTACGCGCCGTCCGCTTCACCAGTGGCCGCTAAAGGTCTCCTGCACGTCGTTCGCACGAGTGGGGTCATCGTGCGCGAGCGTCGCGGTCCAACTTTGGTTACCTTCGAAAACTCGCACACCGCAAATAACTCCCAATAGCCTGGGACCAAACTACGCATGGCGGCACGGCAATCGTTCGCCCACTATTGGCAGCGGCGAGACGCCCCCGAGGTCACCCTTGCGGACGAGGACCCCTGACCCCGGTTCCCCCGAGTTGTCTACCGGGGTTCGACACAATCAAATCTCGAGCGCTCAACGCGAGCGGCGCGCAGTGGAGGGGGTGGGGGGTTACGCGGCCACCTTTCAGCAGCGGGGGGATCTTGATGATGTTGTAGGCGAAGGACAGCCCCTTGCCGAAGCAGTTGCCGATGTTGTAGACGGTGCCGTCCCGTTCGATGTGCGGGTGCGCCGTCGCCCCGTTGATGGAGATGTATTTGCACAGGTCAACCTTTGGGCGGAGGCGGGCGATATTTACGATTTGTTGTTGAAATCTTTCATACGCTCTGAACGACGTCCTTAAACTACTTTTAATTTACCGGGCAAGGCCCCACTGAGCCGTGTAGCTCTTTTTCAGAAGTGGCTATGACAAATGATAGCCCAACGAAGTGGCTTATCACGTGGACATTTATAGAAATCAAATACTCTGAACGCGTGATGTTGATTCTTAATGTGGAGGGAAAAACCGGAGGACCCGGAGAAAAATCTACGCGACCACGGAGAGAGAGAGAGAGAGAGACACGCACACTCCAAATATACAGCAGGCGTCAGAGTCGGGATCGAACCAACGACCTCCTGTGCACCAGGCGAGGTAGTTAACATCTCATAGCCACCGTGGCGCTCTACTCCACCCGCCACAGCTGATTTTAATAAAGTTGTCACGTGATGGACAAACGTGGCACAATTTACCATCACGTGACAGATTTTGTAATTGGCCATGTCGAGTGGAGTAGGGTCTACGACACAGATGTTGACTTGTTGAGGCATGTACGCGTGAAGGCCGATATCGTGACATAGCAGTGTTGTGGGCGGCGCTGCGGGCGAATGTTCTCTGGTTGGGGACACGTGGTCAGAGTTGTGGGCCTCGTGTTGTTGTGACTACTGTGGCTGCGGTCGCGATTGGCGTCGCGATTGATGTCACGGTTTGTGTTACGGGCGATTCCACAGGCGGGCCTGTGTGGTCGAGGTGATCGACGCTGTGGTCGTGGCCACACGGTTGCGATCTAAGCGCGCACCTTGGCGACGGTCTCCAGCGTCTCGGGGTTGATCTTGGTGATGAAGTTCGTCTCTGTGCAGGCGTAGAAGTCCTCACCCACGGGGTAGACGTTGACCAGCGCGTTGTCGGTGATCTCGATCTTCTGGAAGTACGAGAAGAACCTGCGTGCGGGCGGGGAGGGTTCCACCCGCGGGGTGATTGCGCGCCATTTCAAGTCAAATCGTCGTAGTCGCGGAGTTGAGAATGCCCGCTGAGACCCAAGGATATTCTCACATCCTTGAGTTTACTCCGAACGTGAGAATAACGTCACGTACCCGATAGCTGTCCAATGGGGTTGTGGGACAAAATGTCTCTTGAACTCTCCAGGTGAATGGGCGTGCGAGCGTGTGTGGTGTCTTTGGTCATTGGAGCGGTAACACCACTTGCCCCAAAAGTCTGTCAAGGCTACACGGGCAATCTTTGCCTTTGGGTGAGTGATAGACGTTCGTGATGGGTGGGCAGACATTCGAGGCGAGCGGATATGCCGGTCGACTGAAAGGTGGCAAACCAGGCGCGCAGCCCCACTGGCAGTGATGCAGGCTGAGTGAAAGTTGGGCGGGCAGGCGAGCAGGCAGGCTGGACAGGTACACAGGTGTGGCTCACCTGGAGAAGATGTTCTTGCAGGGGTCGGGGTAGGCGACGGTTCCGAACTCGGTGATCGCGATCCGGTTTTCGGTCATGGCGCGCATGTACGTGTCCGTTTTAAGGAAACTTTCGGTGGGGGAAAACGCACAGGGTCCACGCGTTACCGTGGCAACTGCATCAACGTCGCCATGGTAACTATTAATGCGGCTGCGTTTTAAAAAAAAAAGAACATGCGTTTGAATTGTGGCAGATACGTGGAGGTCGCCGCCGCGGAGGCTGTAAACTGTGAGATACGCGTGCGCCTCGGTGTGTGTGTCTCGGTGTGTGTGCGTGTGTCTCGGTGTGTCTCGGTGTGTGTGCGTGTGTCTTGGTGTGTCTTGGTGTGTGTGCGTGTGTCTCGGTGTGTCTCGGTGTGTGTGCGTGTGTCTTGGTTGTTTCGGTGTGTGTGCGTGTGTCTTGGTGTGTCTCGGTGTGTGTGCGTGTGTCTCGGTGTGTCTCGGTGTGTGTGCGTGTGTCTTGGTTGTTTCGGTGTGTGTGCGTGTGTCTTGGTGTGTCTGGGTGTGTGTGCGTGTGTCTCGGTGTGTCTCGGTGTGTGTGCGTGTGTCTTGGTTGTTTCGGTGTGTGTGCGTGTGTCTTGGTTGTTTCGGTGTGTGTGCGTGTGTCTTAGTGTGTCTTGGTGTGTGTGCGTGTGTCTCGGTGTGTCTCGGTGTGTGTGCGTGTGTCTTGGTTGTTTCGGTGTGTGTGCGTGTGTCTTGGTGTGTCTTGGTGTGTGTGCGTGTGTCTCGGTGTGTCTCGGTGTGTGTGCGTGTGTCTTGGTTGTTTCGGTGTGTGTGCGTGTGTCTTGGTGTGTCTTGGTGTGTGTGCGTGTGTCTCGGTGTGTCTCGGTGTGTGTGCGTGTGTCTTGGTTGTTTCGGTGTGTGTGCGTGTGTCTTGGTTGTTTCGGTGTGTGTGCGTGTGTCTTGGTGTGTCTTGGTGTGTGTGCGTGTGTCTCGGTGTGTCTCGGTGTGTGTGCGTGTGTCTTGGTTGTTTCGGTGTGTGTGCGTGTGTCTTGGTGTGTCTCGGTGTGTCTCGGTGTGTCTCGGTGTGTGTGCGTGTGTCTCGGTGTGTGTGCGTGTGTCTCGGTGTGTGTGCGTGTGTCTTGGTGTGTCTCGGTGTGTCTCGGTGTGTGTGCGTGTGTCTCGGTGTGTTTGCGTGTGTCTCGGTGTGTCTCGGTGTGTCTCGGTGTGTGTGCGTGTGTTTCGGTGTGTGTGCGTGTGTCTCGGTGTGTCTCGGTGTGTCTCGGTGTGTCTCGGTGTGTGTGCCTGTGTCTCGGTGTGTGTGCGTGTGTCTTGGTGTGTCTCGGTGTGTCTCGGTGTGTGTGCGTGTGTCTCGGTGTGTGTGCGTGTGTCTCGGTGTGTCTCGGTGTGCCTCGGTGTGTGTGCGTGTGTCTCGGTGTGTGTGCGTGTGTCTCGGTGTGTCTTGGTGTGTCTCGGTGTGTGTGCGTGTGTCTCGGTGTGTCTTGGTGTGTCTTGGTGTGTGTGCGTGTGTCTCGATGTGTCTCGGTGTGTGTGCGTGTGTCTCGGTGTGTGTGCGTGTGTCTCGGTGTGTGTGGATGTGTCTCGGTGTGTCTTGGTGTGTCTTGGTGTGTCTCGGTGTGTCTTGGTGTGTCTTGGTGTATCTCGGTGTGTGTGCGTGTGTCTCGGTGTGTCTTGGTGTGTCTCGGTATGTCTTGGTGTGTCTCGGTGTGTGTGCGTGTGTCTCGGTGTGTCTTGGTGTGTATTGGTGTGTCTTGGTGTGTCTCACTGTTTATCGGTGTGTCTCGGTGTGTCTTGGTGTGTCTCAGTGTGTCTCGGTGTGTCTCGGTGTGTCTTGGTGTGTCTCGGTGTGTCTCGGTGTGTGTGCGTGTGTCTTGGTTGTCTCGGTGTGTGTGCGTGTGTCTTGGTGTGTCTCGATGTGTTTCGGTGTGTGTGCGTGTGTCTCGGTGTGTGTGCGTGTGTCTTGGTGTGTGTGCGTGTGTCTCGGTGTGTCTCGGTGTGTGTGCGTGTGTCTCGGTGTGTCTCGGTGTGCCTCGGGGTGTGTGCGTGTGTCTCGGTGTGTGTGCGTGTGTCTCGGTGTGTCTCGGTGTGTCTCGGTGTGTGTGCGTGTGTCTCGGTGTGTGTGCGTGTGTGTTGGTGTGTGTGCGTGTGTCTCGGTGTGTCTCGGTGTGTCTCGGTGTGCCTCGGTGTGTGTGCGTGTGTCTCGGTGTGTGTGCGTGTGTCTCGGTGTGTCTCGGTGTGTCTCGGTGTGTGTGCGTGTGTCTCGGTGTGTGTGCGTGTGTCTCGGTGTGTGTGCGTGTGTCTCGGTGTGTCTCGGTGTGTCTCGGTGTGTGTGCGTGTGTCTCGGTGTGTGTGCGTGTGTCTCGGTGTGTGTGCGTGTGTCTCGGTGTGTGTGCGTGTGTCTTGGTGTGTGTGCGTGTGTCTCGGTGTGTCTCGGTGTGTGTGCGTGTGTCTCGGTGTGTGTGCGTGTGTCTTGGTGTGTGTGCATGTGTCTCGGTGTGTCTCGGTGTGTGTGCGTGTGTCTCGGTGTGTGTGCGTGTGTCTTGGTGTGTGTGCGTGTGTCTCGGTGTGTCTCGGTGTGTGTGCGTGTGTCTCGGTGTGTGTGCGTGTGTCTTGGTGTGTGTGCATGTGTCTCGGTGTGTCTCGGTGTGTGTGCGTGTGTCTCGGTGTGTGTGCGTGTGTATGCGTGTGTCTCGGTGTGTGTGGATGTGTCTCGGTGTGTCTTGGTGTGTCTTGGTGTGTCTCGGTGTGTCTTGGTGTGTCTTGATGTGTCTCGGTGTGTCTTGGTGTGTCTCGGTGTGTGTGCGTGTGTCTCGGTGTGTCTTGGTGTGTCTCGGTGTGTCTTGGTGTGTCTTGGTGTGTCTCGGTGTGTCTTGGTGTGTCTCGGTGTGTGTGCGTGTGTCTCGTGTGTCTTGGTGTGTCTCGGTGTGTCTTGGTGTGTCTCGGTGTGTGTGGATGTGTCTTAGTGTGTCTCGGTGTGTGTGCGTGTGTCTCGGTGTGTCTCGGTGTGTCTTGGTGTGTCTCGGTGTGTCTTGGTGTGTCTCGGTGTGTGTGCGTGTGTCTCGGTGTGTGTGCGTGTGTCTCGGTGTGCGTGCGTGTGTCTTGGTGTGTGTGCGTATGTCTCGGTGTGTCTCGGTGTGTGTGCGTGTGTCTCGGTGTGTGTGCGTGTGTCTTGGTGTGTCTTGGTCTGTCTTGGTGTGTCTCGGTGTGTCTCAGTGTGTCTCGGTGTGTCTCGGTGTGTCTCGGTGTGTTTTGGTATGTCTCGGTGTGTCTTGGTGTGTCTTGGTGTGTCTTGGTATGTCTTGGTGTGTCTCGGTGTGTCTCGGTGTGCCTTGGTGTGTCTCGGTGTGTCTCAGTGTGTCTTGGTGTGTCTTGGTGTGTCTCGGTGTGTCTTGGTGTGTCTCGGTGTGGCTTGGTATGTCTCGGTGTGTCTTGGTGTGTCTCGGTGTGTCTCGGTGTGTCTCAGTGTGTCTCAGTGTGTCTTGGTGTGTCTTGGTGTGTCTCGGTGTGTCTCAGTGTGTCTCGGTGTGTCTTGGTGTGTCTCGGTGTGTCTTGGTATGTCTTGGTGTGTCTCGGTGTGTCTTGGTGTGTCTCGGTGTGTTTCGGTGTGTCTCAGTGTGTCTCAGTGTGTCTTGGTGTGTCTTGGTGTGTCTCGGTGTGTCTTGGTGTGTCTCGGTGTGTCTCGGTGTGTCTTGGTGGGTGTGCGTGTGTCTCGGTGTGTCAAGGAATTGTATAGCAGTGGCGAAATGCGTAATTCACAATTACGGAGGAGGGATCGTCATCATCATCACAGCGATGCACCACTGGGATACTCCTGACGCAATCATATGGCTCATTAAGCAGCTCGATGTAACATTATAGCTGCTGCTCTATATCAACGTCATTCATACGAAAGAGTATGTGTGTGTGTGTTTCAACGGGTGCTGTTAGCGTGTTCGCTCGCGTGTGCGTGTGTGTATATATATGGTGGGGAGCGGTAGTGTTGCGATTAGCGCACTGCGCTACGAACCCGGCGACCTGGGTTCGATTCCCGCTCACGGCCAACACCATTGACGATTCTGAACCGGGCCTTGGCTCTCCCCTAAGTCGACTCAGCGTCAAATGAGTACCTGGTGCGGTGTGTGAACATCGCCACTGGGAAGACAAAGGCGGCCGGGCGTGGTGCTGGCCACCCACCCCCTCGTGTGCCGTTCCGGCCTTCATCGGTGCTCGCTAACAGCACTTGCCCCTACAGTCTGTTAAGGCTATATGGGGGATCTTTGTCTTTTTTGCAACTGTGTGTGTATGTGTGTGTGTGTCTGTGTGTGTGTCTGTGTGTCTGTGTGTTTGTGTATGTGTGTCTGTGTGTTTGTGTCTGTGTGTATGTGTCTGTGTGTCTGTGTGTATGTGTGTCTCTGTGTTTGTGTCTGTGTGTATGTGTGTATGTGTATGTGTGTCTGTGTGTTTGTGTCTGAGTGTCTGTGTGTCTGTGTGTATGTGTGTATGTGTGTGTGTCTGTGTGTGTATGTATGTGTGTCTGTGTGTCTGTGTGTATGTGTCAGTGTGTGTATGTATGTGTGTCTGTGTGTATGTATGTGTGTCTATGTGTCTGTGTGTATGTGTCTGTGTGTCTGTGTGTTTGTGTCTGTGTGTATGTGTCTGTGTGTCTGTGTGTTTGTGTGTGTGTGTATGTGTGTATGTGTGTGTGTCTGTGTGTGTGTATGTATGTGTGTCTGTGTGTCTGTGTGTATGTGTGTGTCTGTGTGTATGTATGTGTGTCTGTGTGTATGTGTCTGTGTGTGTATGTATGTGTCTGTGTGTCTGTGTGTATGTGTGTATGTGTTTCTGTGTGTATGTGTGTGTGTCTGTGTGTATGTATGTGTGTCTGTGTGTCTGTGTGTATGTGTGTGTGTCTGTGTGTGTTTTTGTCTGTGTGTCTGTGTGTCTGTGTGTATGTATGTGTGTCTGTGTGTATGTGTGTGTGTGTCTGTGTGTATGTGTCTGTGTGTCTGTGTGTATGTGTGTGTGTGTCTGTGTGTATGTGTGTGTGTCTATGTGTCTGTGTGTATGTGTGTGTGTGTGTCTGTGTGTATGTGTCTCTGTGTGTGCGCGTGCGGCTCGTGCGCCACGGACTCGGCGCGCACCGGCACGCGTAGGTGACGGCGCCGTTGCTGATCTCAAACTTGTGCAGCAGGGCTTGCCCGTCGAACAGGTGCAGGAACTCCTCGGAGCCCACCTCGAAGAGGCCGGGCCCCAACCGCATGAGGCTGCCGCTCAGCCACGACGGGATGCGGCCTGCACCGACCCGCGACGGAGGGGGGGGGGGCGAGGTGGAGGGGGCGCACCGTGACGCGTCTTGGCAGAAGCAGCCGCGGCTGCCACCATTCAGCAGACCCTAGCTGGGGGGTTTGCCACTTTTTTCACCGGACACATCACTCAGCCGGCCCGTTGTAGAATGCTGCGGTGACGTTCACCACAATAGTAACTGCACCGGATCTTGGCAGAAAACAAATCCCTGCCACGTGCACACAAACTGTCCGCTTCAAGCCACAAGTCCGGGTTTTATCCGGACTGGTGGCAACCCCGGCGGATTCCTACCTCCGCATGCAAATGCTCGGGTACAGCGCCTTTGTTAATCCACTGCTGGATGAGGGCCTCCCCACGCCGTTGTGGGCCGTGGGGGGGGGGGGGGGGGGGTTAACCAAACTATACCACACACGGTCAGCGCGTGCTGGCGAAGAGCATGGAAGTTGGATCACAGTAGAGTACAACATTGCACGTTGTTGAACTGCCCTCTGCTGACATTGCAGCCCCACGCGGAATACATTGATAGAGTGCAGCATTCGCCTTTGTTGAAAGTAATCAGGGCGTAGTTGCAGTCGGAGCTGTCCCGTTTGGATATTTGACCAAGGCCACCATCGGCTGTAAACAGGGGGCCCCCCACTCTCCGCCTCGGCGGGTGTGGTGCCCCCCCCCCCCACCGATGAGCTGGACTGAGGGTGGCGCTAGAGGAGAGGAGTTGAGGAGGCTCCGGGTTTGTGTGAAATGCGCAGGGGATGAGAGCGAGGGTGGTTCCGACAGCGAGGGCAGAGCCGCGGTGGGAGTCACTCCCAGCTACAGGCAGCGAGAGTCTGAGTTACTCCCCGTGTTTACTGCGGCCTCGCCACTTCACGTCTCCCTAAAAGCCCTTGTCGCGATCTACTGCTGGATGAGTAGCGTCAGACACGTGTCCCCGGGGTTTGATCCGGACAGTCCGCGATTTGGGCATCAGTGTTTGAGTTACAGGGGGTTAATTCGTACCGAGATCTGGTTACCGAGATCTGGTTACCGAGATCTGGTTATCGGTATTGTGCTGAACCAAACTAACAAGAAGAGCCATTATTTTCAAATTTGGTTAAATAAAAAAGACCCTCAATAACTCAAGAGCCGCAACGCAGTGCCACTAACATCACGAAGCAATCCCTTAAAGAGCCGCGCGCAGCTCCGGAGCCGCATGCTGTGTGTACGAATGCATGTTGTATGTTGTATGTTGCATGAACGTTGAACTCATGTCGCGCCCGTACGTAGCCAGGCCGTGCGAATTGTGGAGCTTGTCGTGCCGCTGGCCTCGGCTGACTGAGAAGTCTGTCCGGGTGTTGGTTGCAAATAGAAAAAGGTGGCAACCCTCCCCCCCCCCGAAAGAGGGCCTCCTTGTGAGTTGCGTGGTAACGACAAAGCACCCAAGACAGCGCAGTCACACGCAGGTCTCCCTTCTCACGGTGGCCTGAGATATTCTCATGCCCATGGTAGGTCGCAGTTTTTGTCGTTGCTGTTGTACCTCGGAGGTGGCACCGTGTGGGTCGTGGGGGTCATTTTGACAATACTTCACCAATCTGGTCAGTGTGGGTTGATGTTTATCTTGCGTTTCCCAAATGTATTACAATTGCGCTATCGGCGTTTGAAACTCTCACAGAGCTGTACGCCATCATCCCATGTTAGGTAACAGCCCACGGACGCAGACATCACATAACTGCTTGTGAAATGTCTTCAACCCATGCTCGGTGGCACACTTTGCCACACTGCCTCGCTTCAGGTAAATCGGCGCAATGTTATAAAGCTCACCATTGACAATTATCCACTTTAAATGAAAACCTAATTATAATTTGATCCATTTTTCATGTGTGTGTGTGTGGGCAGTCACCAATGGCTGACTGTCAACAAAGCCATCGACTCGTGACCGCTCGTGAACTCCGCACCTCTGATTAGCTCGGATGGCTATGTACGGTGTGAAAGAAGTTCAACATTCATACACACAAATTTTGACTTGAAGCTTTCGTGACTGCAGGGATTCATATTCTTGGTTCTTTCGGTAAAGTCACGTAGACGGGAAACAATAAAATAAAAAAACAATAAAATTCTCACGACGTTTAGACTGCAACACAAGCAATCATCATCAGGTGTGAAAACCACAACAAGAAAATTTGAAAAAATGGCGTTTTTTAACGTTAGCACCACGGAGAGCGATTTGTCAGTTTGTTCAGATGGACGAGTCCATCTATGTTCGGAAAAGAGGAGGGGGGAGACGAAAAATAATGGATGCGGTCTGAAAACCACCTTAAGCATGATCAATAAATTAAGACCCGAAATGGTTGATCAAATCCTTCCAATGATTGCTAAGCCAGAATCCATCTTCTCGGTTGAAATTGTCTCTGTGTTTGTATATGTGGATAGCCTCATGAACGAATCTCTCATGGTAGCCAGATGGCTTGCAAAGAACCTCTGTCTTGGAGAAGTCAATGTCATGTAAACCTACTGAATTATAATAGTGATCTGCCACGGCCGAGGTGTTGGACCTACCGTGTTTCAGGTCTGCTTTGTGTTCACGAATGCGGTCCGAGACATGTCGTTTGGTTTCTCCAATGTAACTACTACCACAGAGGCAACTTAGTTTGTAGATGCCAGGGTACTGTATGTCCGGAATCACATCTTTTACAGACGGAACCAGATCATAGATTTTATGTAATGTGTTGAATCGGACCTGGATCTGGTGTTTATTCAAGATTTTGGAGATCTTTTTTGTGATCCCCGCAATGTAGGGTAAAGTTATGGTTTTGAAAGGCTCCTCAAGAGGGTCCTTCTTCATGCTTGGAGTGATAGCTTTGCGGATTGTGTAGTCGGAATAACTATTAGCCTTAAGAGCTTGGTGTACGTGCTTGAGTTCACTGGCTATGTGTTCCTGGTCGGATATGCATTGGCCTCTATGGTGCAGAGTCTTGATGAGGGAATTCTTCTGGGATGGATGGTGGTGGAAATCCGGTTTCAGGTAAGCATCTGTATGGGTAGCTTTCTTAGACAGAGTGGCTCATTGAACCATCAGGTCTCTTTTTTATTGTCCTAATATTGTCCAATTTTTTTGTTGTGGTTTTCACGCCTGATGATGATTGCTTGTGTTGCAGTCGAAACGTCGTGATAATTTTATTGTTCAATATATGTTTTTTTATTAGTTTATTGTTTCCCTTCAACGTGACTTTACCGAAAGAACCAAAAATATTCATACACACATATAACTCGATTTGACCGCAGGCAACTGAGACGTAGATTTCAAGCCAGGTTCTCAGCGGTACTGCTCGGTGTCTCTGAGCCACGACGAGGCGCCCCCCGCCCCCCGCCCCCCGCCCCCCTCCCCTCCGCCCCCCCCCATCATCGGCGCGGCGACGAGACTCACCTTGCACTTGCGTGGGCATGGGTGTCTTCACCTCTTGCGCCGTCTCGTACAGAGCCGTGTAGCCCTTGGCAGGGTGCTCCACACTAAAGCAGAAGGAGGCACACCGTGACCCACACTAGTGTAGACACGTCACACCGTGACCCACATTAGTGTAGACACGTCACACCGTGACCCACACTAGTGTAGACACGTCACACCGTGACCCACACTAGTGTAGACACGTCACACCGTGACCCACACTAGGGTAAACACGTCACACCATGACCCACACTAGTGTAGACACGTCACACCGTTACCCACACTAGTGTAGACACGTCACACCGTGACCCACACTAGTGTCGACACGTCACACCGTGACCCACACTAGGGTAAACACGTCACACCGTGACCCACACTAGTGTAGACACGTCACACCGTGACCCACACTAGTGTAGACACGTCACACCGTGACCCACACTAGTGTAGACACGTCAAACCGTGACCCACACTAGTGTAGACACGTCACACCGTGACCCACACTAGTGTAGACACGTCACACCATGACCCACACTAGTGTAGACACGTCACACCGTGACCCACACTAGTGTAGACACGTCACACCATGACCCACACTAGTGTAGACACGTCACATCGTGACCCACACTAGTGTAGACACGTCACACCGTGACCCACACTAGTGTAGACACGTCACACCATGACCCACACTCGGGTAGACACGTCACACCTTGACCCACACTAGTGTAGACAAGTCACACCGTGACCCACACTAGTGTAGACACGTCACACCATGACCCACACTAGTGTAGACACGTCACAACATGATCCACACTAGTGTAGACACGTCACACCGTGACTCACACTAGTGTAGACACGTCACACCATGATCCACACTAGTGTAGACACGTCACACCATGACCCACACTAGTGTAGACACGTCACACCGTGACCCACACTAGTGTAAACACGTCACACCGTGACCCACACTAGTGTAGACACGTCACACCGTGACCCACACTAGTGTAGACACGTCACACCATGACTCACACTAGGGTACACACGTCACACCGTGACCCACACTAGTGTAGACACGTCACACCATGACCCACACTAGTGTAGACACGTCACATCGTGACCCACACTAGTGTAGACACGTCACACCGTGACCCACACTAGTGTAGACACGTCACACCATGACCCACACTCGGGTAGACACGTCACACCTTGACCCACACTAGTGTAGACAAGTCACACCGTGACCCACACTAGTGTAGACACGTCACACCATGACCCACACTAGTGTAGACACGTCACAACATGATCCACACTAGTGTAGACACGTCACACCGTGACTCACACTAGTGTAGACACGTCACACCATGATCCACACTAGTGTAGACACGTCACACCATGACCCACACTAGTGTAGACACGTCACACCGTGACCCACACTAGTGTAAACACGTCACACCGTGACCCACACTAGTGTAGACACGTCACACCGTGACCCACACTAGTGTAGACACGTCACACCATGACTCACACTAGGGTACACACGTCACACCGTGACCCACACTAGTGTAGACACGTCATACCGTGACCCACACTAGTGTAGACACGTCACACCATGACCCACACTAGTGTAGACACGTCACACCGTGACCCACACTAGGGTAGACGCATCACACCATGACCCACACTCAAGCAAAGGCGCCATACATACATAACGAAGTTGGGATTCACACGAGATTATACAGATGCATGGTTGCTGAACTTCTGTCCCCCCCCCCCGTTCGTGGCCAATGGTGCTAATCGGAGATTAAAAGGATCGCGATCCAGTGCGGATCGTGCAGCCCGCAGAGCGCGACTGGGGTCACCAATCTCAAACTGCGTAGCGCGCGGTGACCCCTCGGCCTGCCGCGGCCGTTCGCCGACGGCGTTTCAAATCGTTCGCCGCGAGGCTCACTCCTGCATCAGCCGTGCCAGCGGTGCTCGCTCGCCACCCTCCACACGGAAACACTGCTGAGATGAACTCTCAGCCGGAGGAAAGACGAAAACTCCAGATCATACACACGGCCACTGGCATGATCTACAGTGACTAATGCTCGAGGTAGAGGCACCCACAGCACGAGCATAACCCAACTTAAGATCAGCTGGAGACCAAATGCATTGAACAATTACGAAGTCCATTTATTTTTATTTTAGCCCAGACACAAACCCGTCAAGGATCCATAATCGTCTCTTAACATCAAGACCATCACAAAATTCACGATTCGCGTTCAATCAGACACACGATGGCCGTCACACACTCCCATTCATCATATTCTCTTGTCATCGACCGAGAAGGGAAAGAGTGGGAGGGAATGAGTGAATGAGTGAGTGAATGAGTGAGTGAATGAGTGAGTGAATGAGTGAGTGAGGTGGCTGGCTCCATCGCTTCTCGCATGTCGCCATTGTCGGCAGCGACCGCCTGCCATCGGCGAGTTCTTTTCCAGCGGCAGTCAGCAAGCAGTAAGGGACCTTTCTATGGATCTGTCTCCTAATAGCAGGAGGTCCTCGCTAACACAAACGCAGACTTGGCACGGCAGTGGACAGAGGAACGTAGCTAATGGAGGCACCGTTTGGTTCACGAAAGTAAGTCAGGACATTTGTTTTTGCGCACACTCATGGTCCAGTCTACCACGAGTGCGCATCGATCACACGTTGAAGCGGGCTCTCTGAAACAGCAACACCGTGTTGAGTCTCTCGCAGAACTGGCTCAGACTCAGGAGGGATGGATCCCGGAACATGGAGTCGGCAGCGCGCTCCAGGTCTTTGCCCCGGAGACGCCGACACTGCGCTGGACATGCGCCGCAGCAGAAATTCGCCGCGAGCCCGCGGATCGTAGCCGGAGGCGATTTGTTGTCTGTTGAAGCCGGTACACACTGATCGGCGAGATAGGACGGAGCAGATTGGTGGAGACTCTTGAGGACGGGTAGGCACGTTTCAGAATCATTAGGCACCCGCGCGCGCTCGCTTTGTCTCCCTTGAGACGGAGGCGTTTGGTGTCACGGGGCCCGTATCTGCCTTTTGCTGAGTGTAACGATGGCACTGTTCAGTGCTTTAGCCAGGTACGTCCCAACCTGCATCGTTTTCAGTGTTTTCGACCTCTTCCGTCTCGCGAGAGTTAGGCTTCACGCGAGAGGACGCCGGAGGACCCGGAGAAAGCCCAGCACGCGTACGATGAGGGCACGAAGCTCAAAAGCTCCACACAGATAGATTCAATGATCCATGGATTGCACTGCCGTATCCCGGCCAAGTCGCAGCTCAAGCCTACCACACCTGGTATTTCCAGGCAGTCTGCCCATACCAAGTACTAACCAGCTCAGACCTGCTCATCTTCTGAGACCTGGTGAGGTCAGTTGACATTGTCTGTGCTTGGAAAAAGGCAGAACGGCACCCAACTCGGTACCCATCACTCACCAGGTGAGGTCACTCAAACCCACTAGGTACCCATCACTCACCAGGTGAGGTCACTCACACCCACTGGGTACCCATCACCCACCAGGTGAGGTCACTCAAACCCACTGGGAACCCATCACTCACCAGGTGAGGTCACTCAAACCCACTGGGTACCCATCACTCACCAGGTGAGGTCACTCAAACCTACTAGGAACCCATCACTCACCAGGGGAGGTCACTCAAACCCACTAGGTACCCATCACTCACCAGGTGAGGTCACTCACACCCACTAGGTACCCATCACTCACCAGGTGAGGTCACTCACACCCACTAAATACCCATCACTCACCAGGTGAGGTCACTCACACCCACTAGGTACCCATCACTCACCAGGTGAGGTCACTCAAACCCACTAAATACCCATCACTCACCAGGTGATGTCACTCACACCCACTAGGTACCCATCACTCACCAGGTGAGGTCACTCACACCCACTGGGTACCCATCACTCACCAGGTGAGGTCACTCACACCCACTAGATACCCATCACTCACCAGGTGAGGTCACTCAAACACACTAAATACCCATCACTCACCAGGTGAGGTCACTCACACCCACTAGGTACCCATCACCCACCAGGTGAGGTCACTCAAACACACTAAATACCCATCACTCACAAGGTGAGGTCACTGACACCCACTGGATACCCATCACTCACCAGGTGAGGTCACTCACACCCACTGGGTACCCATCACTCGCCAGGTAAGGTCACTCAAACCCACTAGGTACCCATCACTCACCAGGTGAGGTCACTCAAACCCACTGGGAACCCATCACTCACCAGGTGAGGTCACTCAAACCCACTGGGTACCCATCACTCACCAGGTGAGGTCACTCAAACCTACTAGGAATCCATCACTCACCAGGGGAGGTCACTCAAACCCACTAGGTACCCATCACTCACCAGGTGAGGTCACTCACACCCACTAGGTACCCATCACTCACCAGGTGAGGTCACTCACACCCACTAAATACCCATCACTCACCAGGTGAGGTCACTCACACCCACTAGGTACCCATCACTCACCAGGTGAGGTCACTCAAACCCACTAAATACCCATCACTCACCAGGTGATGTCACTCACACCCACTAGGTACCCATCACTCACCAGGTGAGGTCACTCACACCCACTGGGTACCCATCACTCACCAGGTGAGGTCACTCACACCCACTAGATACCCATCACTCACCAGGTGAGGTCACTCAAACACACTAAATACCCATCACTCACCAGGTGAGGTCACTCACACCCACTAGGTACCCATCACCCACCAGGTGAGGTCACTCAAACACACTAAATACCCATCACTCACAAGGTGAGGTCACTGACACCCACTGGATACCCATCACTCACCAGGTGAGGTCACTCACACCCACTGGGTACCCATCACTCGCCAGGTAAGGTCACTCAAACCCACTAGGTACCCATCACTCACCAGGTGAGGTCACTCAAACCCACTGGGAACCCATCACTCACCAGGTGAGGTCACTCAAACCCACTGGGTACCCATCACTCACCAGGTGAGGTCACTCAAACCTACTAGGAACCCATCACTCACCAGGGGAGGTCACTCAAACCCACTAGGTACCCATCACTCACCAGGTGAGGTCACTCACACCCACTAGGTACCCATCACTCACCAGGTGAGGTCACTCACACCCACTAAATACCCATCACTCACCAGGTGAGGTCACTCACACCCACTAGGTACCCATCACTCACCAGGTGAGGTCACTCAAACCCACTAAATACCCATCACTCACCAGGTGATGTCATTCACACCCACTAGGTACCCATCACTCACCAGGTGAGGTCACTCACACCCACTGGGTACCCATCACTCACCAGGTGAGGTCACTCACACCCACTAGGTACCCATCACTCACCAGGTGAGGTCACTCAAACCCACTAGATACCCATCACTCACCAGGTGAGGTCACTCACACCCACTGGGTACCCATCACTCACCAGATGAGGTCACTCACACCCACTAGGTACCCATCACTCACAAGGTGAGGTCACTCACACCCACTGGGTACCCATCACTCACCAGGTGAGGTCACTCACACCCACTAGATACCCATCACTTACCAGGTGAGGTCACTCACACCCACTAGGTACCCATCACTCACCAGGTGAGGTCACTCACACCCACTGGGTACCCATCACTCACCAAGTAGCCATCTCGGAGCGTCTGTCCGACAGGGCGGCGCGTGGAGTCGCGAGTTCGTGCGCCGTGCGTCTGGAACGGCCCCTTTATGCTGCTTGTCAAGGCCCCACCGCCCGCCCCCGTTACCGGGCGGCCCCTCCCACGTGGGCCGTGGGTCGTCATTATCCCCAGGGAACAGGGCCCCGCTTTGTGCCCTCTTGGTCACGGGACCAGGGAATAAAAAGGGGATTTCTGCCTCAAACGGGATTAGGCCGTCATGTGCGTTCCGCAGGAGTCGTAGAAAATACGTGTAATTGGTTGGGGGGGGGGGGGGAGGATGGGGGGGGGGCGGAGGGGGTGGGATTTGAGATTTGTAGACTTACATTAAGATTTTGGTTTTGCGGAGAGAGAGATTTTGCGCCTGGTTTTCACCGTCGTGTTTTGCACACTAATCGGCTTTTTAGACTCGGGACAACGTGGGAGATGTCACACGAATAATATTATCAATAATCATGATAGTCGTGGCAGTTTCCTAAAAAGAGACGCCTATCTCGAGACTATTTTCAATGAGATTGTTGCAGTCGGGATGAGTGACCAGTTCCCCTCTCATCGGCGTGCGGCTTCGCGTGGCAGGAAGCCAGAGAACCGAGAGAAAAAGGCAACAAAAAATAGCGTTAACTTTTTTTGTTTTCTCACCAACATTTTTCTTAAGCGGTATATGCGTGAGCACCTCTGGAAATCTCTAATGCTTTTAGAGTTTTTTTGTTGCGTCCGCCGTAAGAGATGGAGCGATGAAAGCAGTTTGTGTGCGGGTGCCGTGCGAGTTGTTGTGGTGCAGGATCGTTGGAGGGTGGCCTTCGTCCATCAGTGGATTGGCCATGGCTGACAACGACGATCCATCATCAAAGGGTTTAAACATCGGCAGCCGACGGCTTAAGTCGTTAAGGTTGACAGCTGCGTGGCTGTGCCCTGGCTAGAAACTCTCGTCCGGCAAAGCTCCCGCGCTCCCCAGGCTACTTGAGCGGCGGTGTCGCGGCCGATGGCACGGGGAGCTCGTTACCAGCCAGATGAGGATCAGATGGATGGATGCTAACGGGAGCTCTAAGCAACAACACACCCATTAGCTTGTCAGTTCGCACAGTGAATACTTTTTACTGGACACCGACAGGCAGAATGCGGATCATGCCAATCAGTAGTGCACCAAGGGGGCGGGGTGGAGGGAGCAAAAGGGGAAGCTGAACCCCCTCCCTTCTCCCTCCACTCCAGCCGCAGATATTTGAGACATTTGAGATGGCCATAATGTCATGGCCATCTTGAACAGGCCGATCTTATAAAAGAGCCCATGTAGGCCCAAGGTTCTTACTGGGCAAAATAAACTCGTTGACTCTGTCATAGACTATTTTTCATTTATTCACTTTTTTCCAAATATAAACCTGTAAATAAATGAAAAGAAGATTGCCCCTTGCGAAATGTTTTAGCCTTGAGCGCCAGTGAGGCCCACTGCTCGTGCTGGTGGCATCGCCATCACCCCCACCCCCCCACCCCTTGCCCGGTCCCCCCCTGGTCCCCTCAGTGGCACCGTAATGCGCCTTCTTGAGACGCCGCTTCGCTAATCATGAGCTCGGTAAAATGTAAATCCCTGCCCTCGGCCAGACAACCGACAACGAGAGCGATTACAGCATCACAAGACCGTGACGAACGACGGTAGCGTGGGGAGGAGGTCATCATCCAGCAGTGGGTTGATCCTGACCTTTGTTGATGATGATGAGTTATCTTGGAAAGTCTCCCCAAGTCTTAAGACTCTCCTTCAGCGGGGTGCTGATGCATTGGGATGCTTTTTGAGTTCCACGAGCGAGTGTTTGGATTCGCGTGGGCAGGGAACCGGAGAACCCAGAGATAACCCACGAGCCATGAGACCGAGAGGGCGACATTGAATCCATGCCACCTCCTGGCCACACCTCGCAGCGCTATTGCTACAAAACACCTGGCAAGCCCTGGTGGTAGTGGTGGCCACTCTCCCAAGTACTGACTAAACGCTGGATCCTGAGACTCTGAACTCTGGATCCTGGACACCAGGATCCAGGGATGGGGCCCCAACACCAGGATACAGAGAACCCTGTAGTTGAGCAGGGGGCGCCTAAGGATATAGCTGGAGAATCGCCGGTGAAGGTTATCAATATGACTGTCCCTTTTCGAATTACTACTTCAACAACAACATCATAATTTCCCTCTCTCGGCTGGTGCCAACAAGTGAGATGTGTGGCCTGAGGGCCATGGGCCGTGGCGGAGCAGAGCAATGAATTCGCCTGCCAGTCGTGTCGCAAGCAGAGAGCTCCATCAATCTGGCACTGAACGTGCCACGGCTTGCCGGTAGACTGGAGTCGGTGGCGCATGGCTGGGAGTAATCGCAAATTCGAGAGTGAGGTATACTCAGAATCACAATATTTATTCATACTGGCTCTTAAAATTTACTGCAGCCTTGCATCCCATTGGTTCTCAATCGTAAAAAAAGGTATAATGTTAATGAACACATAGGTTTGATGAAACAAAATAGTTGTGCTTACGTGCCCGTGATTAGTTTGTGTTTCGATGATTTACCTTCTAAAACATCTGTACATGTCTCGCACCCCCAGAAAGGGCATCTGGCACCCACAGGGGCTGCGTGCACTCCTGACTACGTAACGCTACGCTTAATAATCTAAACGCGCGTTTCTAACGCGTGTAGGTAATTGGACGTAGTGTGCTCGACGGCCACCCGGAGAGACACAACTGGTGTGAAACCCTGGGCTCATGCGAACATGCAGGAGGTCCTCCTGAGCTGCAGCGGATTGAAGGAAGAATGAAGGACGGAAGGATCAAGAAAAAAACAAGAGGAAGGAAAGAAGACGAAGAATTCCATTTACTTTATAACGAAGCTCGCTTTACCCACAAAAGCATCGTCGAGTCTCGTGACTATTTTCAGGAAGGTCTTGGCACGTTTTCGCAGTAGGGGGGAGTGGGGGAGTAGGAAGGGAGATAGTTGGTATAACTGGAATCCCAGTTGAGGAGTTTTCAGAGTGATTTTTCAAACTTGACAAATTTCGTACCTTGACGCTGGCACACGATGGCCTGCTCTTGACGAATTACGTCACGGGATCTCTTCAACGGCCGCTTTGAGCGAAGCGGACATCAACGCGTTATGTTAACGGCTCATTAACCCGCAGTATTAATCGGGGCGGCTGCCGGAATTCTCACCGCAACGAGCGGCGAATGCACGGCCACTGGGCCATGAAGACGAAGCCGATGGGCTCGGCAATCAGCGGCAATCTCCGCATCGGCAACAGCCGAAGCCAAGCGGAGTGGGCGATGACCTCGCTGCGTGGGTGGCGGTGTGGGGAGCGGTGGTGCAGTGGTTAGCGCGCTGCGCTACGAACCCGGCCACTCGAGTTCGACTCCCGATCATTTGCCATGCACACCAGTGGAGATTATCTGAACCGGTCTTGGGCCTACCCTAGGTCGAATCGGCCTCAAATGAGTACCTGGTGCGGTGTTTAAACATCGCCACTGGGGAAATAAAGGCGGCCAGGTGTGGTGCTACCCCTCAACCCCCCTCCCACCCCCTCGTGTGCCCTGCCGGCCTTCATAGGTGCTCGCTAACAGCACTTGCCGCAAAATTCAGCGAAGGCTATACGGGGAATCTTTGTATTTTTTGGGGGGCGTTAAGGGTGGCTCCACAATATCGCATTGTGCCCGGGGAGGCTCTGAGAGCCTCGTTTGTCTTTCTGGGGCCTCTGGAGTGGATGGCGGCGACCTCTTCACTGTTTTCACAATCGCTGCTTTTGTGGTGGCTCCGTCCCCTGGAATTCCGACGTCCTCCTCCCCCCCAGTAAAAGGCGACAAATATCCCAGAACACTTTAGAGCACAGTCAGCGATTGATTTCCCCATTCATCAAGAACCACCGCCTCGTATTCACCACAATGCATTGCGGCGCTTGAAATATAGAGGGGTTTTCTTTTTTACTACCGAAATCGAAAAAAATTTATCTTCTTTTTTTCTTTGGTTCTTTCGGTAAAGTCACGTAGAATGAGAATAAAATAATAAAATAACACAATAAAATACTCACGACGTTTTGGCCACAACGCAAGCGGCCGTCTTCAGGTGAAAGGTACAGAACTGTCGGGACGACAGAGCTTCAATGAACGATGTTAAGATTCGTAGCGACTTTTAAGCTGGTTGGGAGAAGTGAGGCACCTTGACAAAGGGGTTTACATATCAATAGCTGAGGGATTAGCTTGTGACTGGTCACGGAAATGACTATGTTAAAGTCAAAACCTACACATCCACAGAGGCAACTAGTAATTTAGCATTGAAATAGCTAAATTACTAGTTGCCTCTGTGGATGTGTAGGTTTTGACTTTAACATAGCCATTCCTGTGACCAGTCACAAGCTAATCCCTTAGCTATTTCAATGCTAAATTACTAGTTGCCTCTGTGGATGTGTAGGTTTTTACTTTAACATAGCCATTTCCGTGACCAGTCACATGCTAATCCCTCAGCTATTGATATGTAAACCCCTTTGTCAAGGTGCCTCACTTCTCCCAACCAGGTTAAAAGCCGCTACGAATATTAACATCGTTCATTGAAGCTCTGTCGTCCCGACAGTTCTGTACCTTTCACCTGAAGACGGCCGCTTGCGTTGTGGCCGAAACGTCGTGAGAATTTTATTGTGTTATTTTATTATTTTATTCTCATTCTACCTGACTTTACCGAAATAACCAAAGAAGATGAATCCTTGCAGTCACGAAAGCTTCAAATCGAAATTTATCTTCTTGTTATTAGCCCTAGACTAACACTAACCCCATAAGTTTAACCCGACAAATAACCCTAACTCTAACACTAAATGGTACCTGATCTCTAAACCTATCCTTAAAACTAGCCCTAACTCTAACCCTGAATGGTACCCGATCCCTAACCCTATTCTTAAAGCTAGCTCGAACTCTAACCCTTCCTCCTAACCGATAAGTCTCAGCCTAACTCGAACGCTAACCCTGCGCAAATAACTCCAACCTTACTCATTGTTTTTTTCAGTAAAGTCACGTATGTAGAAATACCATAAAATCACATTCAAACAAATCAATCACGACGTTT